CCATGCGGGCGCCCTCGGCGGCGCGGAACCTGGCGGGTCTCCCCGGAGCCTGAGGCAGGCGGTGCTGCTCCTCGGGAGGAAATCCCGGCCCGGTTCCGACCCCAGCGGGCTCCGGCCGTGCACCGCGTCTTGTGTCCGCCTGTGGAGGGTGGGGGAAGCGGGGGGGCTGGTGCCCGGTCTGTGGCTTCGGTGCTGCCCAGCCCTTCCCGGTGTCTGGGCGCTGCCGCAGGGTAGCGGCCGGTACCGGGGATCTGTATCAGGTGCCACCTGGGCGTGTGGCCTGTGGACCTTAGCGATAAGATCCCCCTGGCTCTGCAGGCAAAGTACGCCGAGCTCTTTGCCTTTCTGCCAGGAAGGATTTTACTGCCAGTGACCTTTTTTATTTTTTTATTATTATTAGTCTTTTTCTTGGTACCGTATTAGAGCAAAATGACGAGAATGCCAGGGAAGCTTAAGTGCTTGTAGTGGAGTTAGTGCCTTACAGCTGGCCACGCTGTACATCTTAAAATTCGTTTTAAGAAATCATAGAATGGTCAGAGTTGGAAGGGACCTTCAAGATCATCGAGTTCCAACCCCCCTGCCCTGGGCAGGGACACCTCCCACCAGACCAGGTTGCTCCAAGCCCCATCCAGCCTGGCCTTGAACCCCTCCAGGGATGGGGCAGCCACAGCTTCTCTGGGCAACCTGTTCTAGTGCTTCACCACCCTCACAGGAAAGAATTTCTTTCTGGTATCTAATCTAAATCTCCCCTCTTCCAATTTAAAACCATTGCCCCTTGTCCTGTCACTACACTTCCTGGCAAAGAGTCCCTTTCCAGCTCTCTTGTAGCTCCCTTCAGATATTGGAAGGCTGCTATAAGGTTTCCACGGAGCCTTACTCTGCTATTTCCTAATGTTGTTTAACCTGGGGAGCTTGATACCTGCACTAACTTTCCAAGTAGACCAAGGTCAGTGGTAGTCTTTCAGCTGCTCTTCTGCTCGCTTGATTATAAATAAAAAAATAATCTGGTTTTCACTGAAGCTTGTACTTGGATTAGAAATAAGGATCATTAAATGTGAAAAGGTACATTAGTTTGGAAACTGATGTTTCCATGGAGATAGGGATATAAGAAATCTAAAAGACTCGAAAGCTGTAGACTCGTGGTTTGCCAAAAGACTGAATCTTCAGCAGGCAGCACAGTAACGTAGTGTAGAAGGTCCTAGGGCAGGGCATTTAAAAGAAGCTGTGTTAGCAGCTGTTCAGTAGAAGGGGGCCTATACCATTGGCAGACCTTGCTTGCAGGTCTTTGTACTTAAAGTAATATAACTGCATTTCATGTAGAGCGTAGGAATTACGTAAACTGCTAATTAGGCTGTATGTGTCCTAAAGCTGTGATTAGGAACATAGGAGGGCTGCCTATCTTTTCAGGTCCATTTATGGCTTACCTTAATAAACCCAAAACCTGCTGATTACACACTAGGACACCATTGGCTCCACTTAGGTGTGTCCCTCTTTCCCCAAACATGTAATCAAACACCCGTTTAAAAACCTTAAAAGGGAGTTCTCCAGTGACTAGTATTCTACTATTTTTGTGTCCTAACATTGCTGTGGTTTTGAAACTAGCTTTTTGACTATTATAAAAACATTAAAAAAAACAGGAAAGACTGTGAATGTGAAAAAGTACCAATATTAATCTATGTCAGAAATCCACTGTAAGCCATTCCAAATGGTCTTTACTGCTTGGCTTATGAAATAGGTGATGGAAAAAGAAATCTAAAGCTTCATGTGCATTCAAGCTGTCATAACAGCTTACTGTTAGTAAAAGGGAGAGGTCTTGCCCTTGTATTTCCCTGGTCTTGACTGCACAGTCCTGTTCCCTACTTTGTGTTGTCCCTTGACTTTCCACTGGATTTTTACTGAGATGATGTGGTTTTCTTTCACTTGAATGACTTTTTTGCTGGGGCATTTCTTAGCTGTTCTAGTGAGTTAAAATCAGCTCACAAGTGCATCCTGGATGACGTAGAGTAAGTTAGAGGAGGAGGGCATGGGATCCTTTCCCATGTTGGCAGTGGTGCACATGGGTTTGTTTCCTGTGGAATGGCACCTTCATCCTTAGTTTTCTTTGTATTTTCTTGGTTACATTTTCTGCTTTCAGTGTAAAGAAGGTAACAACTTACATTTTTGTTTCTCTTCTTACAGGAAGAGGATGATTGGAAGGAGTTTGAGCAAAAGGAAGAAATTGATTATAGTGGTCTTAGAGTTCAGTCCATGCAAATAAGGTACTACTTTTGGTTTTTTTTCCCCTCTCTCTTAATACGACCATTACCTGTGTTGAAAAAGTATGTTCTTTCTTCAGAGCTGCCTCTGTGGAGTCCAATTAAAGAGATGTTTGATATGTTTCTGCTGGTATAAAAGTTTGCTGCAGGGTAACTTAAATGTGACTGTTCTCTGCTGATGTTCTCCTTATTTTCTAAATCTCTGTTGATACTCTAGGTCTATCTGTTTTGGTTGGGACTCAAATTTTTATTACAAATGCCTACCATTCCCCTCCCTAAGGATGGTAAAGTAGGAATTTCTCTTGAGAGAGGAGTGCAGGATAGTAATTCCCAGTGACCCTTCGAGCAGTCAAATGATTATCTGATGCAGTCTATTCAGCATCTCAATTTGGGGAGTGAATTCCTGAACCGTTAACATTTTTATTTCAAAACCACAAAAATATAGTTGGTAAAACTTAGTGTCTCACGACAAGATTCCAGAGGACTGCATATATGAGTCTCATCCAAGATTCTTTCTTTGATTTTTTTCATTAGATTGTTCCTGTACTCTGGTCCAAAGTCAGTCTACTTAAGCCTGTCCTGGTTAAGAACAATGTTTAATCAAAAATCCTTTTTCTGACCTCGGTCTTAGACTGAGAATGTCACATAATCCTCATTGTCCAGGTATTGACGATGTTCAGAATAATGCCATCTTACCTGCAACCAGTGCAATAGATGCTTTCTTCACTGTTTGAGCAGGTCTTATGTGTTCTTTGATTTTATTTTTTTTTAACACACACCCACACCACACCCCCCTTTTGGTTAACTAGTCCTTTTAGGCCATTTGAACGTTTTTGGTCCACAAACTCACCGTACCATTGAAGTGTCACAGTGGATAATTACATGTCTGAATGGACAAGTAACAAGTGGGCTGCAGCTTCACAGTACTAGTGCTGTTTGTTTGAAAAGTGAGTACTTTGGTTTTCCAGACAAAGGCCATCATTCTGAATGCTTTTGATGCTGTGACAGATTTTCAGGGATGTGGAAAGTTGTGCTGCAGAATTCTGTGACCACTCAGTTAATGGGTTCAAGGGGAGAGTGAAGAAGTAAATAGAAGAAAAACCCACTGGAGGTTATGAATTATCTAGCTGTGGACATCTCTTTGCTGAAAATAAGACATGGTATCAGGGAGGGGTGGGATGTTGTGTATACTTTGTTCTAGGTATTCTGTAGGCATCTGCTTTTGACTGTAGTTTAAAACCAGATAGTGATGTGTTTAGGCCCTTGGTCCAGCTTACAATGATTGTTACTGTATTGGGATGAACAGTGAAAGGCTGTTTAATTTTTAGAAAAAATAGGTCTTTTTAACTGTTGTCTGATTATTACTTATACAGAAAGCTTACCTGATTGTGATTAGTAGGATTTGGTGTATTATAAACTATTGTATTCACACTTTGCTGCTGCTGTTCAGGTCGGTGTCTCGGGATTTTTAACAGCCTTACCCTCCATGTATGTCCCATCATACCACGCAGCTTTCTGTAGTAGCTTTGTCTACCAAATTATTTTTGAGACTCTGACTATTTCTATGCAAAATAAAATAGTCTAAATTAAATACAATCAGGCTTATACAGGATATATCTTTAAAAATGGCATATGTTTCTCCATTTTTTGATTGCTTGCTCAAAAAAAAAAATCTGAGTTTGTTTGCAGGTTATATTTATATGGGTAATATAAGAGTGTTTCTCAGGTGGTTGTGGTTTTCGGGAAAGGGAGCTCAGGACTTGAGTTCTGTCACTACAATTTCTTCCTCTTGGCTAAAGCATTTTATGGAAGCTGGACTTAGCCCTTTCCTGCTTTATCTTTGTATTGCTTCCAAATGAAAAGTCCTTAAGCTCAAAATAAGAAATCACTTTCTTTGATCACTCAGTACACTTTGAATTTGGCTTTTTTTTAAAGCACTTTTTTCCTTCTCAATGGGCAGGTTGTGTAATAGTGTGCCAAAAATTCTTCAGCTGGAAGTACTGATACAGTGGTTACAGGGCCACTGACACAGGTTCAGTACAGTAGCTGTGAAGTCTTATCTATGGCATTTGTGTAATCTCTGGCAAGTCTTAAACCCCTGTTTGTGAAATGCTGCTTACAATTTCTTTTATAGTGAAAAAGAAGATGATGAAAGTGAAAAAAGAGAAGAACCTGGTGACAACTGGGAGGAGACTGGTGGCGGTGTAGACAGATCATCTGGTCCTTGGAACAAGTCAGCTCCTGCACCAGCACCTGTCGTTGAACCAATTGGTAAATTTAACTCAGAGTTGTTGCTTTTTCCAGTCAGAAAAGCTGCTCAGAGGGTAGAGTTCAAGGAGCAGTTCCTATTCAGGCAGCTTTTAACATACTAATGGCTTGTTTGACATGGTAGCAAATGAGGAAATTTTCCTGTAAAGGGATCTGAGGAACAGAATTGATAGTACTGTCAGATACTTTAAATAAACATGAATGGAGGGGGTTTTATATCTGACTTTAAAAGGCAGGGAGAGAAGCATGCTGTCTTTGAAGGAGATCCCTCTACACTGTGATCTGCAAAATACCTGTTGGAAACATTTCTGTTAATCTACAGATACTGCTTTGACAATTAAGTAGATGTTTAGCCACCATCTGATGTCTGATATGGCAGTTCTTGAGTAGGGTTCCATGGTCATTGTTATGCTTTTCAAACCAGTTCTAGGGTACAGAGATTGTGACATCGCAAAATTGATTCTTTAATTGGGATAGGACTTCAGTTTTGATTAAATAGAATTCGTTGGCAGCAGCAGAGATAAACTACTTAGCTGTCATCTGAGTTCAGACTATTCTCTTCCATTGAGAAATTTATTGAAAAGTGGCCTGCTCTGTTTTCTCATGTTTGTACAGGCAAGCTGGTAAAGTTGATTAATAAGTGTTATTTCATTGTAGATTATTGCCTTAAAACAACTAGTTGGATATTCTCATCTGTATGCAGAGAGATGCTTTAAATAAGATTTGGCAAATATATACTTGTTTGTTTAAATCTCTAGTTTTAAATGTAAGCTGCTAATAAATTGCAAATAAGAAACATGAAGTCCTCATCAGTGATTTTGATTCCTGAAATTTTGTGAAGCAATACACCGGAGCCACATTTTAATCTGACTACTAAGTATAGGTTAAATTAGGTGATGCCTGATTTCTTGTCTAAAATATTGGCTTTCCCAGCTTTAAAACATGCAAAAGCATACTTCTGAGATGCTTTTCTTCTTTGGGTGGGGCGAGGGGGTTGAGATACGAATGCACGCTTATTCTCTTGTCTAAGTCTTGTTCTTATTACCAGTTACAGAACCCCCAGAACCAGTTCAGACTGGTGGTGTGTACAGGCCGCCCGGTGCCAGGGAGGGCGGCAGGCCCCGGAGAGCACAGCAAGGACCACCAGAAATCTATAGCGACACGCAGTTTCCATCACTGCAGTCCACCGCCAAGCTTGTAGACAGTCGAAAGTAAGTACCTTCTATTAGCTCCCTAAGAGACATATTTTAACTGCCTTCTCTAAGTTCTTGCTTTGTTTTAGGGCTTAAGCTTGAATCTTTCCACAGAGGAAAAAAATTAATGAAGAAATTACTCTGTATGGCAAAGAGATACAGTTAAGACCTCTCCCGTATTTTCCAATTCTGGGAAGGGCTTTCCATGATGTAACTTTCATAGGCCATAGCCCAGTGAGATAGCCAAACAAGGCTGCCAGTTGCCTTACCTAATTGACTTACTGAAAGATTTCCCTAAAGCACAATATTTCCACTCTTGACAGCATCAGGTTCCCTGCTGAGGGAACAAGCCATGGTGAGGCTCTCGTTACCATCAGTAGACAGGAGTAAGATGTCCTGAGCACACCGCCTTCTCATTAGAGATGTGAAATTAACTTAAATGGAGGAATGGGATTTAACACAAATACAAATCAATAAACTTGCTGTCTGAGCTGTAGTTTACAATGAGGACATCCATCCCCCCCAATTTTGCTGAAGTATTTGGTATTTTGTGATGCTGAAGACTTAAGTCTCACCCTGCTTTTGAGCCCTGATCTTTCCATAACCTCATTCCCTACAGAAAAGATAGCTGGGCTGATACCTAATGAACTTGGGGTTTGTTTTGGTTTTTTTTAGTGTGGGTCTTTTTTTTTTTCTGCTTGCTGTGTTACTGACCAATACAGTCTAGCAGAAGCTGCAGAAGCTTTGTTCCTTCTTATGTTTGGGATTTTGGTTGGGTTTCTTTTTTTTGGTGTGATTTTGCTTGGCAAATGAGACATGCTGTCATTGATGCTTTAGGATTTGAGCAGTGTAAATTGAGCTAAGGTGAAATTCTGAGTGAGCATTCTAAAAATGGAGTTCTGCTTTCTGAAACCTATTTTTCATAAATGCATTTAAATTTACCTTTGAGAATGTTAATATTGAAATTTAGAATGTCATCTGAATTGTACTGGGTAATGAGCCTTGATGCTGGAGAGTTTTTACAAGATTTGCTTGGGAATGTTTGGCTGTTCTGTTAAAACTCTAGATCTTAGTGTTCTGTGTTCATAATGCTGTTGTTGGGATGGGGTGGAAATCAACTAGAAATTCACAATTCACGAGCTAGTGATAAGATATTTACTGATTACATTTATTTTCCCTTAGGGATAAAGAAATGGAGAAGAGCTTTGAAGTAGTAAAACACAAAACTAGAGGTAGGGATGAGGTGTCAAAAAACCAGGCACTTAAACTTCAGCTAGACAACCAGTATGCTGTGCTTGGGGATCAGTAGAGCTGCATACACATTACAATTAAGGAATGCTTTTTTGGTAACCCTTCTACTAAGGTAACTAAACTACAGCTAACGGCTATGATGAACATGCCACCTTATTTCTGCTGGATCTACTGCAGCAAGTGCAGACTACTTTGACGTAAGTGATTGGTTCTCCTGCACTATGGAAGCAGAATATGTTACAACTTCTCCATTGGATATGGGGCAAAGTAATGTAAATGATTGAACAAGAGTCATCAGTGTTCTTTAATTGCTCAGAAAGATACCTACAGCCAGTGGTCATTTCAAAATCTTTTTATGTTCAGATACTGAGCCTTCGTAAAGGTTGACTACCTCAGACTTGCTGCACTCATTGTGGACACCATGTGGATCACAACTTCTGGAAGAGAAGGTTACAGCTGTTTTAGTGGCCATCTGAAACTTGAAACCAGCTCTACTGGATTCCTGTCAGAAATCCTGCAGAAGTCAGCCATTTGGTTCCAATTTGCTATAACAAAGATTTAAGTGACCTTAATGACAAACCTATTCTGTTCCCCTTCTGAGGAATCCTGTCACGTGTAGCCATAGCCTAATAGAGACTTCTGGAGCGTACCATACCACTCATCCTACCCAAGTATAACAGAGCTGTAGTTTGTTTACCTTTTTAGATAGCTGTACTGAAGTAACTGCAAAACAAGTTAAAACCCAGTCAGTATCACATATGAGGAATGTTGGGTTTGAATGGTCTGTTTGCATTAGCCATTTTCACAGTTGTCTAAGTGTATTTTTTTTTTCGTTCTCCACAAAAAAAAAAAGCCTGCCTTGTTTCTGGTATCAAATTGCAGTATATTTAAATAATGATGAGATGTTGTAGTGAAGTAGGGTTTATTTTGTTTTTTTTGTCATGAGGTTTGTCTTTCTCACCCTGAAGCACTAAGATTGAAGAGTTTTGATTTGACACAGAGGTATCCAAGCTCCAACTACAGTCTTCAGAATTTCTCTTTTAAAAATGAGATACATGGCAGTAGGAATGCTAGATAAACATTTCTCCTCTATTAAAAATAGTTATTTGTTTGTTGAAGGGTAATGGTTACTTGATAACCAAAGTAACTTAGTATGCAGAGGGGTAACTAAAGCTGGTAAGCCTTATTTGTTTGGCTACTTCTGTGAAGCATGCAGGCTTTTTGAGGCAGAAATCCTCTGAGTAAAACTCGTAAATGGTGTTTATTCAAAGTCAGGAAGTTTAGTGATAGAGGAAGGCAGCGACTTCTCTAAGTTGTTGTCACCTCTGACTTAATTTGGGGAAGTAGGCAAAAGGCACTGATACAGTGAGAATATTGGACATTGCCCCTAACTGATTCGATGAATGAAACCCGTCAAGTACCAAAAGTGTCCTGCTGTAACTGTTTTTCTCTTCTCTGAATTCTTACACCAGAAGCAAAACGAAGTACAATAGCGGCGTGCTCCAGTGTTGAGGTTTCTCAGAGTAAATGCCAAAAAATAGACCCAACATCTACGAGTTGCCAATGGCAAGATAAACAAGGGAACAAAACAAAATAAAACTTGCTTATGTGTGTGGGAGTACTGTGTATGTGCAGAAGATGAGGATAGTGCAGGAATGGCCTCGTTGGGTTCCCTTTGACTAACTGCTGACTCGCTTTAAATCTGCTTCTCTGAGGCCAATGGGAATTTTGCTGTTGGCTTCAGCGGGGCTGGGGTTTCCCCTGGTTCTTTTGTGCACAGACTAAAACTGGCCTTGCCCTTGCAGAGTTAACTGTCTCTAAAACTTCTGCTAAAAGCTGCTATTAAAGAGAGGGCTCAAGAGACTATTCTTAAAGGTGGAGACTTCATTTGGAAACAAAACACCACTGAAAGACTGATACCGATACCTTGGACTCTGAGCCATGTATCTTCCTTGAAAATACGTTGTTGCCAGCAAAACTGTTGATTTGTCACTGAAGATTTCTGTGGAATTCATGGTGAATGGACATGTCGCTTGATGTGGTAGAAACATGAAATCTTAAAACGCTTTTCCTGATGCTCTATGAATTGAGTTTTAGTCTACTGTATGAAGAGTAGATGAGACTGTCCATTGTACCGTCTTTATTTGAGGTTCTGGGCATGAATTCTGGCAGTTCAAGAAAACCCTGTAACAGTTTCAAATGAAATAAAATGGAAATATACATGGATTCTGGAGTCTAATGAATCTTTACCTTTAGTTCTAGCTTGTGACTCTACAACAGCTGAGGAAATGCACAGCATTTGGATCTGTTAAAGGGCAGGCCATGAAGTGGGTAGTCAGCCTTATGGTCAGGGGGGCTATGTTTAAGAGCTTACAGCATTGCATATTAACATGACTTTTATTTATACATTGAAATCTAGGTTGCTACCAGGCAGAGCGTCCTCTCACTCCCACCATATAGGACTGGTTTGAGATTGTGAATGAAAGATGAATGAAGCTTTGATTTGCTTTTCACTTGAAAGTAGCTCTGATAAATTAAAGAAAAAAAAAAAAACATAACCCAACCCCAAACCTCTGGTTTGCTGTCACTACTCTACTGATAAGTAGAGGTTATTTTGGGGACTTACTGAGTGTTCCATTCCAGGTTCTTTCTGGAGGCATAAAGGAAAAAAATTAGAAATGCAGCAGGTTTCTGTAGTACAAAATGTTAAACTGTTTTAAAGTGTTTCTTGTGTTAAATATCGCTGCCAGCAACTATCAAAATGCCAGTCATCAGTAACTTCCTTGTAACAATTAATTGTTCTGCATGCCTCAGGTTTTCAAAGTCAGTTCTCTGTGGAAGCTCAGTCTGGTTTTGAGGCTCTGAAGTCCAACTCTATCTGGTTTGTTGTTGCATTCATTCAAGGCATGCTAAGAATGTCATTTCATTCCTTCAAAATGCTTGTTGAAGGCTCATTCCATAAATGAAGGATTGTCAGTTGTAGAAAAGAGATTCTTGATGCCAGTTGGTAAAAACGCAGTTGTGTGGTGCTTCAGGAACTTCCTGACCTGTAACAGGCTTTTATGGTGGGTTAGTTATTAACTTCCAATTTAAAGGTTCCATTTTGCTTTCTCTGGCTTAAAATAAAAACACAGCCATAAAGTTATGGATTTGCTAGTAGAACATTTTAATGTCTAGTATTTGCTGGGAAAGGAACAACTTGGGTTTGTGGTTCTCAGTGATAAGGTTACTTAAGGAATGTTAAAATGCCAAAAACTAGATAATTTTAATAAACTTGGAGTTCCCAAATGCCCGTTATATCAATATGGCATCTGTATTTACTTGAGCTGATGATAAATGTAGGAGAGGATTAGTTTTGCCCCTCCTCACCTCCCTGGCCAAGCTGTGCCGTGTTTAGTCTCATTCACAAATGAAGAGGAATTGACAAGTACAAGCATGTCTCCTGCTCCTTCAGTTTTGTCTCTGTACCTTTATCAGTCATGTCCCAAGTAACTCTCTTGCAAAACTCACAAACAGATGCATTTTTAATGGTACAACTTGTGTTAGGGACTAAGGGATCTGGTGTTTGCATCTGTTGGCTCTTGGAAACTCTTGCAGCAGCAGGGCTGGGACACCTGTGCTGTTCAGGTCAAGTAAACACAATTTAAATTTGATAGCGCTGCACATCTTGGAGTTTGCTTTATCTGAGCTTTTGCTTGTACCTTTTTGTCTTTCTAATTTCAGCCCGGTTGAGCAGTTTTAGACTTGCCTTTCTGTCAAATACCATGACTAAAATGGAGCAGAGATTCTTTTTTTAGACTAATCGAGCTTCATGTGCTTAAAAGGTGCTTATTTACAAGGTAGTAATATTCTTTCCAACATTGACACAGTCAGAGAAATGAATACCTCATATTTTACATGACCAATTTGTATCAGAGGCCCAAGAAACTAAATTTCACCAAAAAATACCCCAAGTACTTAAAAATCTTCATGAATAGCCACAATCCAGGTTTCATTGCCTGACTGTAATTTACTTCCCACATTGTCCCCTCTGTTGTCAGCTTTTAATTTCACAAGTTGGTTTTAATGGTAAATAGTGGTTTTATTTGGGGAATATAAGAAAATCATAACATGCATATTTGAATTTCAGGCATATAAATTAGGTATGTACAAAGGGGGAGGAAATCTGACGTATTTGTCAATATATTCAGAAAAAGTTAAGTCACCTTGTCCGTATTGAGGCTAATATGAGAAGCTGCAAGCTGTAGCAGATGGAAGAAGAAATGACAGCAAAAAGCAGAACTGAGGAGTCCGATATTGGTTTGGACAAGTCATAACTATCATGGATCTAGAGTTTGGCTTCTGAAGCACCAAGTGTAAGTCTGCCATACTCTGGAGTGAAATAGAACAGGAAAGAACTTTTTTTTCTTCAAATGAGGGAGAGTGGACATTGTGCAAATAAAATGCAGGACGTAGAAGCAGCGAGGGATTAGGGAGGCCATTTTCTAAATTCTAGTATTAAACATGTAGCCTGAGGTAGGGAGTGGAGTGTCAGGAGTTGGACAGGAGGAGAAATACTGCCTGGGGAAGCACCGCTTTCACAAGTGACAGATCCATCTGACTGTAAATCAGCAATACTATTTGAAGTTCAGTACTTGGGGAAGGCATCCCATTTTATTTTTTTTCCTTTAAAAAAAATAAAAAATCAGGAAAACCTGTCTAGAGAGAAAGTAGAATTGTGCATTGGTGTCAAGCTGTCTGACCAGTTCCCTAAAGAGAGGACCAAGAAGGACAAGTTCAAGATAGTTCAGCATCTTGATAGGAAATAACTTGTTTCATATTTAAGTAAACTCCTTTTCACTTCTGTGTGATAAAAAGCTGAGACACTGATTCAAATTGCTCTGAAGACATTTCCTTTTTTTGTGAAGCATCTCCTAAGGGTACGTATGTCACGGGTTTATGTTCAGTTGCTTAGAAGGTGTAGCAAGGTTAATGAAGTTCAATGGGCTTAGCCAGAATACAAATATTAAAAATGTATCACAGTATTAATGAATAACCAGAAAAAGTAGCACACCTGGAATACTGGAATGGGAAGTATCATCTAAAACAACTGCGTGCACTGAAAAGAAGCGAGTCCATTTTGTAGCAAGAGCGTAGGACCCAGAGAGTGGGATTTGGCCTTGGATTTCTGCTGAGCTGCTGTGTTAACTTCAAGGAATTTAGTTTCACGTTGCCTCAGTTTCCCCAGCTGTACCAAAAAATCCCTACAACCTACCTCACAGGGGTGTTGTGAGGCCAAAGCTGTTCTTTGTCAAGGGCTGGGGCTGATGGAAGGTGCTACACAGGATTTAAAATCTTTATTAAAAGATCTTTATATTAGCTTTCATTACAGTATTTTAAAACTACTTTATGAAAGGCTTATTTCTACAGAATGTAATATACGTTCTATTTAAGTATTATGTAATTAGACTCATTTTAGTGTGTACGAGTAAGGGAAAAGTTCAGGCTGAGCACTCTTAACTGGTATTTCCTCTCTTTTAATTATCTGTGCAACCCAAATGGTATATTAATATGAGGCTTTTTGGTTTTATGTGGGATACATTAAAATCAATATGGCTACACTTTGTAAACCCCATGACTGAAATAAAATCCTGCTCGCAGTCAATAGCTATCTCTTACAATGTGGCTGATTTGAAGTTTGTTCAAGTTATGTGAACTAGAAATGTTCACTCCTGAAAGTGTATGTTTGTGTCAGGCTACTAAGTGGTATTTTGTAGCAGGAATGCAGTTTTCTTCTCCTCTGCACATGGAAATACACATTTGTCCTATTCTTCATCCTTTCCTTGAAGTAGCGTGCAGGTACAATGGAAATTAGAGAGACTAATCTTAACTTCAAAGCTTCTAAAATCTGGTATTAAGGCAGGCTATGCCACGTGGAAACACACATTTGTCCTACTCTTCATCCTTTCCTTGAAGTGCAGGTACAATGGAAATTGGGGAGAGAGACTAATCTTAACTTCAAAACTTCTAAAATCTGGTATTAAGGCAGGCTATGGAGGAAAAAGGTGAAGGGAACAAACCAAAGGGAAATAGTTGCCCATGGAGAGGTTTCTGTGAGGTGGATGAAGGACAGAAATGATCAGAAGACATAAAGGGAACAAAACAAAGGGAAATAGTTGCCTATGGAGAGGTTTCTGTGAGGTGGGGTGGATGAAGGACAGAAATGATCAGAAGACACGAGGTAAGAGGGGTAAGGCAGAGGGATAGGTAGGAGAGGAAGGAATACAGCTACAGAGGAGATTACCCTATTTACTGTTATCTCCTGTTTTATCAGTTAACTGCAGCTGAAGGAAGATGAAGAAATAATTTTTATGAATATGCCCTTGTCTGTTGTTGCTGGTGATTTCAAGGTTCATTGCTCAGCTCTTACCAATAGAAGCAGAGAGCACAATGGTGGCCTGCACGCAGGCAAATGGGACCTCTGGTGGGTACTGGGCAGAGATGAGGCCCAGCAGCTATCTTCTCCTACTGGTATTTTTATCATTGTGGCACCTCTAAGACAGTTGTTAATGTGCATCAGCCATGACAATTCTCTGTCAGAAATGATTACTGTTACATTTCAAGAGAATATTGCAATTGCTTCAGAGGAAATGTTTAACTAGCTGAATAATAAGTATTAAAGAATAACACGGGGTGTTTTTGGAATACTTACGGTGATGATGATGACAAGTGATCAACAGAGTGGTAGGTGGCCTAAAATGACTTTGAGGTATATATCCTGTTACATGATGGGGAGGAGAAATACTTTTCAGAGGTATATTATCTATTCTTTTCTCCTCAACAAACTAAATGGTCCTAACTGGCTTTCCAACTACGAAGAGCTGCTTCTTCCGCTCTCTCATTGTTTCATTCCCTGTATTTAACATGTCACTTTTCTTAAGGTGCTGATGGAACAGCAAATACTCACGGAGGACCTCTAAGAGAAATACATGCTGTAATATTTTCCATATTGTTGTGTCTTTAATACAGCCTAACATCTTACTCGCTTTCTTGACTGCAACTACACATTGAGCAGATGTCTTCATCAAGCTGTCCATGGTGATGCCTAGATCGTCCCCTTGAAAGATCACAACTAATTCAGAATCCACCAGAGATGTATGAGTGGCTTAAAGCCTTTCCAGTATTCATTGCCTTAGGTTTATTTTCTGTTGCCATTCACTTGCCCCCGAATTGCCAAGTTTACAGAGGTAGTTACCTCACCCTGGCAATCACCATCGTCCCCAGTGCTGACAAACCTAGGAACTGTCTATGGGCATTGGCTTTTTACCATCTGATATACTGAAGTCTTCAGTTTCATGTATATAATTCACTCTTCTTACCCGTGATTACCATGGCATGCTATTACTTTTACTCAGTCTGACCTTTTCTGTTCTGTTTCATGTCTATTATCTATATTGAACTTTCTTTCTAGCTCAGTTCTAGCATTGAATCCATTGAGTTATAACTGCTGGTTATAATGTTGTCATAAGCTTCCTTTCTTTAAAATTAAAATAAATCCCTTATGGTTGTACATACTCTGAAAGAGATACAGAATAACAAAATGATTCAAACCATAAAACCAGGCTGATAAAAGAGAACAAATGCATTAAGAAACAGGTAAAACATACATGAGACCGATCTCCCAGAGCTTAGTGGTTTCAGTGGAGTTACTTCGGTCACTTGAGATCAGTTTCATTAAAACTTGATTTGAGACCTTCTCACTTGAAGTCTAGATACAACAGCCAGAATTGAGCACAAGGGAACAAGTGCTGTAGTAAAATTGTTACAAATTTCTGGGTTACCCTGCTCTTTGTGGCAGAGACCAAGCAAGTGCATTACGTGGTCTCCAACCAGCAACGAAATGGGCTCAGCCACGCTTGCTCTAACAAACCTGGTGTAGTGTTTAACTGGACACTGAAATTAGATAAAATTGTCAAATTGGGGCTGAGGTGTTTGGTTATTTTTGGGGGAGCGAGGGGGGAATAGAGCAGGTTCAGCAACACCTGACAGTTAGACTGTAATGCTTCCTACCCTCTCCCTCTCATCTAAGAGACTCCTCTGTGCTGCTACACTCACCAAAGCCCTGACCTGCCACTGTAAATCCTTTCTGTGTTACTAACCACCCAGTAACCTTCAGGACTGACTAGTTCTCTGACTGGGAACTGTGTCTTTAATCTGGGAATGAGGTAAAAGGTAAACTGGCATGACAGCGTTTTCTAGATAATTGGGCCTGCTAATTTATATTTTTTTTTCTGCAACTCAACACCCAGCAAAAATCTCCTGATTTGACCTCCTTTCACCGTAGAGTATTACCTCCTCCTTTCATTCATCTACATTATTACCACGCCAAGGATTTCTAGTCAGGTGCCTGAATTATTCACCACTTCCTTAGAAAGCAGTTTCAAAAAGCAAGAACTGCCTCTTGATCATGCTGTATTTCTTCAGTTAGGGCTCTAGCATCACAAACGGGGCTCCAGCTGTTGCAAAATTGCTCAGCAAGTCAATTTCCTTGAATTTAAACCTAGACCATCAAGGGCTACACCTGAGCCTAATTCCCACAGAGCGCAGCAAAACCAAGGCAGTAGCACTGGTCCCAGTACAACACAGTTCAGCTAGGAAAAGGAGCAGGGTTGCACGACTGGTAACGTGCGAGCTCAACCACAACTGTCTCACCTGGACAGCAGGGTCTAGCCTAAAGCGTTTTTATTTTTTTAATGAAGAGATATCTCTGCGAGCAAAAAAAAAAAACCCAAAAAAATATGAACCTGAATTTGCTTTCAACAATGTACCAGAATGTCTCACCACCAGACTTAACCCGAAAAAATGAAGATCAAGCCACTTGAGTGTTTATTGTAGTGCAAAAGAAAGGATGATGCTGGCTGGGTGGGAAGATGGTTGGTTGGGAGCCCACTGAGCACAGCAGGAACTGTTTCAGCAGAGCACAGTATGATCTGAGAATCCCTGTGTGGCCCCCACAGTTAACGCAGGAACCTAATGGTGCCTGTATATTTATATAATTATATGTTTATAGTCATAATTTAAAGTTCAAAACCCGAACTATATATATATATATATTTTGTCAGTAGATTTTTTTACCCTGGTTTACCTCTCGTGGCTTCTGCATATGACAACTTCTAACTGTGCAGTGCACACACCCGTTGTTGTCCTTTTGTCCCATGTTAAGAGTAACGGTATCGAACTCTGTAAAGCACTTTTGTGATGTTTCCTGTGAAGAAAGCTGAAGTAAATAAATTTAACAGCACCAACTGAACTTACACCTCCAAGTTTGTCTCGCTGTGGTTGTGTTCACCCTTCTCTTTGGTGACAGGGTCACAGACAGCAACGTGTGTGTCATTTAGAGATGGCTGGGGAACAGGTAGTGCTCAGAGCCCGTTACTGGTTCCACTGGGGGCTGGGGTGTCTCATTTCTGCCCTTCTCCCTTGCCCCCAGGATTCACAGCAGCTACAGGAACCCAGCCTCCCAAGACTTCTTTAAAGCTTAGGCAAGTGGGTCAGGGAGTGGTTTCATATCTGTAAAGTAGGAACAGCAGCACTACCCTTCCACAGCAGCTGCTTCTGAGGACTGGGAAGAAGGAAAAAAATATAATAAAGTCACAGGAGCCTTAGGTCTCACCTACTAATATCCACATCCATTTAAAATACTTGCAATGCAAAGCATTTGGAGGTAGAACAGAGAATTGCCAGTGCAATGTCACATTAATTCAAAATGTGATTTAAGGCAGTAACAGCAGCCTTACTGATGTCTGACATCCATCCACAGATGGCAAAAAGTGTCAAGCTGTTAAGATCAAGAAAAGCAAAGCACATGGTAAGACTGTAGTCTCTGCTCCTCGACACAGCCATCTTGCCACAGCCTAAGCCCCCACTGAGAGGGGCACAGATCTCACTTTTTGAAAAGAATCAAATCCCTCGCATTCATTGGCATCTTTCAGCCCTTCCTGACAATCCCTTCAGGTCACCCCGACAGCGGGTTGCGGAGCTCACTGACAAAACCTCCACTGCACTGAAGTAGGAAGCAGAAAGCAGAGCCTTGCACATAAAGACAAGCTGCTTTCCTGTTCTCTCTCACCTGGAGACTCCCACTGCCCCTCATCCCTTGCCCCCAGCAGCAAGGGGTTAGTTCTCCCCCAGCCCAGAGCAACATTCTCCAGATTGCACGGGGCTTAGATGCTCCTGGCTCTTCCTTTCTTGTATCTGCAACTGATACTGATGCAAAAACTTTCTATAAAACACAGCACTCAGCAGCTAGAAAATAGAAGTAGAATATAAACCCCCTTCAAAACAATAAAGAAGTAAATTAAATATACATAACATCTTTAAAGTCTGTTTCTCCAGACCACTCCACTGGTCCTGTGCAACTGGAAGTTGTGCTTTTCTGTTCCAACAGGCTGCAGTAATCCCAGCTGCTAAAATACAGCTCTTCAGATTTCAGAAGCACACACTTTTACCCGACTAATGCACATCATACAGTGAGCTCAGTAAATAGAGGCTCAGACCCTGTAATTACTATAAAAAAAAAAATAATCAAAGAGTTTGTCATACATTGTGGCTGGCTGACTAAGATGATTTCCAGCTGCTGGAAACTCAACAACTTTGTTCTCCCTCTGGTTCCTGCAGC